TCTCGACGCCTACAGCGACGTGTTCGAAGGCCCGCACGGAGTAGTACCGGATCGACCCATCCGCCACGAGATCATCCTCGAGGACGGGGCCGTACCTCCGCGCGGTTGCATCTACCGAATGAGCGAGGAAGAGTTAAGTGTGCTTCGCGCACAACTCGACGACCTTCTAGAGAAAGGCTGGATTCGGCCTAGCTCATCGCCATGCGGTGCTCCTGTTCTCTTCGTCCGGAAGAAGAACAAGGACTTGCGGTTGTGCATCGATTATCGCAAGCTCAACGCGCGGACGATCAGGAACGCCGGCCCTCTCCCACGCATCGATGATCTTCTCGAGCGATTGGGCGGCGCCCAGTTCTTCTCCAAGCTGGATCTCAAGTCAGGGTATCTTCAACTCGAGATTCGCAAGGAGGACCGTTACAAGACCGCGTTTAAGACGCGATATGGGCATTTCGAATGGCTGGTCATGCCATTTGGCCTTACGAATGCCCCGGCCACTTTCCAAGCGGCTATGACAACGGAGTTCCGACACATGCTGGATCGTTACGTACTTATCTAGCTCGACGACATCTTGGTGTACAGTCGGAGTTTGGAGGAGCATGTGGAGCACYTGCGCACCGTTTTGGAGCGGCTACGACAAGCCAAGAACAAAGCCAACCGTGACAAGGGTGAATTCGAGCGGTAGGAGCTGGAGTACTTGGGCCATTATGTGACGCCGCAAGGCATCCGTCCGCTCGCGGACAATATCGAGGCCCTACGAGTATGGCCCGAGCCCACCAACACCACGGACGTTCGTTCATTTATGGGATTGGCGGGCTACTATCAGCGATTCATCACCGGATACTCCAGGATTGCTGCACCTATGASGAGGTTACAGTCGCCAAAGTGCCATTCGTATTCGATGACGACGCACGCCGGTCATTCCAAGCACTTAAGACGGCTATGCTCATGGCACCCGTCCTTAGCATCTATGACCCCACCTTGCCGACGAGAGTGACTACGGACGCTTCTGGCTACGACATTGGGGCAGTCTTGGAACAGCACAACGGTGACGACTGGCACCCTGTGGTGTATTTCAGCCACAAAGTGCCTCCCATCAACTCGCTTGATGATGCAAGAAAGAAGGAGCTACTCGCGTTCGTCATGGCTCTCAAGCGATGGCGACACTTCCTCCTTGGGCGTCGTAGGTTCACATGGGTTACGGACAACAATCCATTGACCTACTACAAGACGCAGGATACGGTGAGCAGCACGATCGGACGATGGATGTACTTCATCGACCAGTTTGACTTCACACCGAAACATCTACCCGGCCTCTCAAATCGCGCAGCAGATGCACTCTCCCGAAGACCAGATCTTTGCGCTATGACACATCATGCCTTCGCATTCGACAAGGAGCTTCAGCGACACTTCATCCGGGCATATGAGTCTGATCCGGACTTCGGCACGCTCTATGCACAACTATCTTCGGATCACCCGCCGGCCAGCCATTACCGCATTGCCGACGGGTACTTGCTCCTCTACTCGAGAGGCAAGGATTTACTATGTGTCCCACGCGACCGTCGTCTTCGGACTCGCCTCCTCGGCGAGTATCATGATTCACGACTCACCGGCCATTTCGGAGTAAACCGCACTATTGCACGGCTTCGACAGCGATTCGGATGGCCCGACCACATTACCGATGTCACTCGGTATTGCGACTCTTGCGAAGTTTGCCGACGCAGCAAGCCCCGCAACCGCAATCCCTACGGCGAGTTACACCCGATGCCTATCCCACGGGAACCAGGTCTCTCCATTGCCATGGACGTCACCAGTCCGTTTCCTCGCGACCGGCTCGGGCATGACGGCATCCTCATGGTTGTGGACCGATTGAGTAAGTACACGCGTTTTCTCCCTTGCAAGTACTACTCCACGGCTCCCGAGCTGGCACGCCTCCTGCACACTGGTTGGATTTGTGGCCACGGTGTACCAGAAGACATTGTCAGCGACCGCGACACTCGTTTCATGTCGCCGTTTTGGACTGCTCTCATGCAGGAGTCTGGCACAACAATGAAACCACGTTCGTCTCGACATCCTCAGACAGACGGGCAGACGGAGCGGGCACATCAAACCGCTCAAATGATGCTTCGTACGCTCATCCGTCCGGACCAGAAAGATTGGGTTGACCGCCTTCCCGACATCGAGTTCGCCTACAACACTTCGGTGCATCCGGCGATAGGTGTGACTCCATTCGAGTTGCACCACGGTGGACGGAAAGGCCGGATCTTCGCCGACCTTCTCCTCCCTCGACCAGCCGACATTGACGCTGCCTG